CAATGCACATGGCTGTTGGGTATTGTTTATGAAGAAGTGAGTATGAGAACCACACAAAGGGTTCTTATAGAACAAGTGCAATTAGAAAATGCAAATAAACGTGTAACAGAGAAGAAGAATGAGTCAAAGATAGAAAAATATACAATGGAAGACTCCTTAAATTTTTGAAATTAAGTCTTCTTTGCTCCTAAATGTGTTTCCTCGGTTATATTTTTTTATAATTGCAATCCTGAATGTACTAAAATCTGGTCCCTATCGCTATAAGTTTCACCAATTATTCAATTGGCTAAATACGAACGTAGCTTCCAACGATTCATACAAACATAATAATAAGTACATCACTAAAGAGGTAACACAATGCATCAGTCTTGTACATATTACAAGCATAAGTAAGTGGCTTGAAACCTTAAGCTAAAGTACTCTCTTCTCTAGTCACCTCCAATTCCTTGCATACTCCATCTAGAATGGACGAAAAGTCTCTCACGATTACGAATACTCTCAACAGCTGAGCTTCTTCCTTTGCTGAATCTCCATGGAAATTCTCTGTGATCTCTTTCACTGTAGAGAGCACAGAACCTTCTTTTGTTTCAATCTTCTTAATCTCCTCTACCGCGGTTTTCAAGAATCGGGTCATCGACTCTCTGAATTTCCACCATTGTAGTTCTTCATTGTGTCCATTCTCATCATTCAGCAGCAGAACCTCACTAACTTTCTGGACTCCTTGATAGAGCTTTGACATGTCGTTTCTTACAACATCGTAGTCCATTTCTGCAGATATCTTGACATCTACAAGTACTGAACTGATATTTCTGACGACATGTAACACTTTTATGCCTTCTAATTCTATGATGTTCTGTACAACTGAATGCAAGAGAGTGGTTCTTCCATCTAATAATTTGATATCGATAAGCTCGAGGAGCGCCTCAAGTTTGAAGTCACGAGCATTCCCACTCTTCATTCCTGTCTCTAAGACAACTTCAATAAGCTTCAATAACATTCTGCTATTCCGCAGTTCCTCGCAAGCAGCCTGCAAAAGAATCAGATAGCTTTTTATGAGACATGAGCTTATAAAACAACATACACATTCATATATGTCTCTCCTTATCACATACCTGTATGATGCCGAATGATCTTTTCAAGTGTTCAACATTGGAATCAAAACTAGCAACAGAGAGCAATGCATCAACTCGTTCGAACGCGAAAGGCACATTAAGCAATTCCTTGAGAAAACTCTCTGATGGGGAAAGCTTGATCACTGCTGAATCATCACAATAGCTCTTCAACTTCCTCTCTTCTTCTTCGCTCGGTGCAATTCTAGATAAACTCTCAAGGAGCTCAATTCCAAGTGCTTCATAGTGACCTAATTCAAACATTCAGAAGAAAATAAAACTCAGATTCAATTCGATACATTCGAAAATCAGAAGAATATAGCTTTGTAACCGATGATATACCATCTCGAAGGGCCTGGCAAACATCCTTTGTGGTGAGCTTAAGTGTTGTAAGCAGAAAAGCAATACTCTGACACTTTCTTGGATCTATAACTCTGCTCTCTTGATTTAGCATTGGAAGATCACAGCTTAGACTTCTCTGTTTTGAGTTAGCATTTAAAGAGTTGAATTTAAGACTATCCCATGTATTTTTCCGGCAAGAACTTGGTCGGACTTTCTCCCAAGGCAAAGGTTTCAGCTTTGGCTTTGGTCCTTCCCAACAACTCTGTGGCAACTCCGAGAAAGATAGCTTCTTCCCAGACTTCTGTACCATAAACGACTGTGAAGGTGGCACAAGAGGAGGCGGCTCCGGCATCGCCGGCGGTGGTCGTTGTGGAGGAGGAACAGGAGCAGAAACCGCCGATTCGCTCTGTTCACTTGTACCAAACACCGGATTTTCCCAAGAAGATTTCAGACTTCTAGAAGATTCAGACATGTTGATAACGAAATCTCTAGCTGGTGACGCAGCAGTGGAAGAAAGGAACAAAGACTTGACATTTCGACTGAAATCGTTCCATCTCGGCGGCGAACTATCCAGAACCTTCCGGAAAAACCGATCCGGAGTGGTGGAAACTGAAGAGTACATAGAAGAACGAGCATATGCGTCAGGTGTTCTAATCATACCTCTCTCCGGTGAAGTAGAAGCAGAGGAGATTCGTGGAAACCCTAGATTCTGATTCCAGAGGCTAAACATTCTCAGAGACGGTCCATATCTCTTGTTGTTGTTGTTTCTTACTCGTCTCTCCGGCGACGGAGAAGATTGAAGGTTTTGGGTGTTCGACCAATGTGGAGCAGCAGTAGAGCTTCTCGTCGGAGAAATCGTAACGGACGGTGACATTGCCGGAGAATCCGAGGTTGAGGAATGAGAGCAAGAACAGTTACTGTACGGATTTTCTCTCCGGTCTCGTGATTCGCGGCCAGCTAGAGACGCGAGAGGAGAGTAAAAGTCGCCG